TCCCAAGCGGTTCACATAGGCAATAGCCGTTGGGCTGTCCACCTGAGCCAAAATAGATTTGTTGTAGCTGGCTCTGCCAAATGATAGAAGAGGCAGGTGAACAGCTTTGAGATCCAGGGCATTTATGTTCCATTTCTTCTACTCCAGAGACCAGAGGCCGCCCGTCGACATTTTCCAAGATATCGCGACCTAGCTGTGATGCATCTGTTTGTAAAATCAGGCCTGGGTGTGCTGCCATCACTGGCTTGCAGTTGAGGTTTGATAGGTTGTTCACCCACCACTTTAGTTCTTTCAAACAATCCTGAGAGAGAGAAATCTTCGTCTTGTAACTGTGGTGACGCAGAAGCTCCTTGTCTGCATGCATTTGAAGGTATCTGCAGTGGAACTGAGCTGGAATAATGGCTGCCATAGATGCGGACATTTCTCTGATGAGACTTGCCAGATTTTCTGATCTTTACATTCTCATTAAGCGACAACAGGGTGCAAGCATATTGTCTACCTTCTCCTGGGAAAGAATAAATTTCAGATCCCTGAAGCTGATCTGAAACCCTGGGAAAGTTATGGACTGGGTCAGAGTCAAAACTGACTTTTGGCAGTTTATTACAAATCCTAGAGTCTTGAGAATGAAATACAGGGTGTCTCTGTGTTGGTTCAGAAGATTGGTTGATTCTGACAGACAAATGATGTCATCCAGATAAATGATAAGACGGATACTCACTCACCGTACAAGACTGACTACTGGTCTTTGTAGTTTCGAAAACGCTTGATGGGCGGGGGCAAGTCCGAATGGCAGGCACCGAAATTGGTAAAGGGCACCCTCCAAGTGAAAGTAGAGGACCTTCTTCTGGTGTGAGGCTATTGGCACACTGAAGTACGCGTCCTTGCGGTCAAGTTTGCACATGTAATCTCCTTGGCGAATCAAATCTCTCAGGAGGTGCAAGCCTTCCATCTTGAAGTGCTTGTACGGGATATAAGCATTAGGGCTTTCAGGTTTATGGTAGGTCTGTGACCGCCTTCTTTCTTTGACACCACGAACATTGGGCTTAGAAACTTGCCTTGTTCTGGTGGAAGACCAGGAGCCCTTTCTCTGACTTTCTTTGTGAGCATCTTTGGAATATCCTTGCTCTGAATGAGGACTGGTAGAGACAGCAGGTGCAATTCGAATCCCTTTCCTGTCTGTAGTATCCAAGGGTCCAGAGTAACTATTTCCGAATATTTGAGACAGTCTCCCTCCCATCACAGCTCCTGGTGGAGTACTTATATTTAGGTAAGGTTTTAGAATTTCCGGCAAAACCAGGAATTCCAGTGATAACCGGAGAAAGGAGACGCTTTTATTTTGAGACAGTTCGATAAGTGAATCAAAATTTTAGTCAGAATCGCTACTAGAGCTGGAAGAGTTATCAGATATACCTAGTGACTGGTATATATCAGATTCCGACGCTATAATTGCATAGTTTCAAACACGCTTGTAGCGCCCCTCATCCTGTTTGGTATTCGATTGTCTAAATCCCGGGTGATCGGTCACCAACCTGATAACATTATCCGACTGGTGTTCGTCTACGGGCGCATTTTTCTGATTTGCAAAGCCCTCTGTATCTTCCATAGACAGTTTGGTGTTCATAAAGAATAAGCAACTTGCCGAAAGGGCTACGTACGCCATAATGAAGAAAGGTCGTCGTGCTCTGTCGTGGCGAGATTTTGTCCACTTATAAAATGGCCTACTGCCGGTTTTCATGATGAGGATGCCAATATCACATCTACTACATTTTATGAAATGAAATTGCAGATAATAACATCATTAAACGAAAAACAACAAAGCGTTTCCTCATATTTGACACAAGAGATAACATATTAAATAAAACTTAAAGAATTACGATATATCATAATACGATAATCAAGAGTACACGCGACATCAATAATTTGTAAATCTAAAATTCATTAGATCTCCTATTCATTGCAGAATGTTGGAAATATGAAACCTAGCGTGTGATGATATATTCAAATTTTCTGAGGTGATACATAATGAGGATTTGATTAAGAATTGACTTTAACTTTCTGTGAGTTCTTATATTTTTATGTCACTTTTGTACCGCAAAGGACGTCGACCTTGATCTATACACAATTATATTTAGTACGTGTGACGTGTGTTTACACTGACAGAAATACAACAGCTGTATCGCGGAATAAAATAGTTCCTCAAAACGAGACAGCTCATCATGCTCAATGGGAACAACTTTTGTAGTCTCAAATAATATCCTCATTAGATGGGAAAGGTCTGTTAAGAACTACCTCAGTAAGTCAGTCACAATGACAGCGCGTCGTAATACATTTGTATTGAATGTGGAAGTAGTCCATCAGTGTTTACGTCATTTCAAGACCGACCTCTCGTCCAGTGGAAAAGCCGTATATAGCGAGAATACTGCACTCATTCTCGTTAGATAATATAGAAAGTTCACGAGTTTCGTAAAAATGGTATCTAACGAGAATTAGTGTGCTATTTTATTTATTACCCATGTCAAAATATGTATTTATGTGTAAATACATAAAAACTTTCTTTCGTTGACATTTCAAATTGAAACCGGTTGCAAATCTGGTTGTGCATGAATATTGATATATTTCCAAAAATGGTCATTGTTGACATTCCCATGCATACGTATTAACAACATGTTCCTGATGTTGTGTGTGCATACATTACAGCTTCAACGCTCAAGATCTTATTTTAAGAATGTACTCAACTTATGGTAATTCAAGCGCATTGTTGTAACTTGTTGGTACGCACGACACCTATAAGAAAATCTAAAGAGTCAATCAGCGGAGTTCCCGGCTGTGCAATCAAATTTTTGCGGTTTCCTTGATCTATAAGCTGAATTTGTATCCTGTTCGTACCATTTTGGAAGAGGGAAATTAGAGTACTCGCCAAAGACATTCATGTTAACTGTACGATCCGATACTGAATATGTTAAAATCAACAAAATCTGAAAGTCTGCTTGCATGTCTGTGACAGCTTCGAACGAAGGGCAAGGTCACCATCGGAATAAGAAAAGGCAACCGTGATCTACTCACAATCAAAACGAATAAAACGAGGTCAACCTTGTACGACACACGTGTGATGTACGGATTTGGTATCTTACCACCTGTATCTTAACCACGTGGGTAATAAATAGAGAATACTACACTCGTTTTCGTTAGATACCATTTTTACGAAACGAGTGGATATCTATGGTATCTGACCGAGCGAAATAAACGAATAAAACGGCTATAGATCTATACCTCCGCTAGAGACCCGTATAGATCCGGGGTCGAATATGCTTGTCGTAAGAGGCGTACGGGGTAGGATAGGTCTTCAGCAACCCATGCTTGCCGTAACAGGCGACTATGCTTGTAAGAGGCGACTAACGGGACCACGTGGTCAGGCTCGCTGACTTGGTTGATGCATGTCATCGATCCCAATTGCGTGGATCGATGCTCAGGATATTAAACACTGGATTGTCTGGTCCAGACTCGATTATTTACAGACCGCCGTCATATAGCTGAAATATTGCTGAGTGTGGCGTTAAACATCCAACCAACCAACTAACGTAAGAGGCGACGAACGGGATCGGGTTGTCAGGATCGCTGTCTTAAAATTGGTTGATGTATGTCATCGATCCAAGCGTGGATCGATGTTCATGATGTCAATCACTGGATTGTCTGGTCAAGACTCGATTATTTACAGACCGCCGTCATATAGCTGGAATACTGCGGAGTGCGGCGTTAAATAGAGAATCTCACCCGAGTGTCTTTTGATATTAAATATATCAACACAAGTTGATAAAAGTGGAAAAACTCTTAGGCTTGCCGAGGGTTTTTTCCACTTTTATCAATGAGTGTTGATATGTTTGATATCAAAAGACACGAGAGTGAGATTTTATTTATCATCCAAAATCATTCTTCCAACTTTTTCAGTTTGTAAACAGTAATGTAACAATGACGTCGCAATGGTCTGCAAAGCATTGTGATGCAAACTTTGCAGTGGTATCTACAGTGTAGATATATAGAATACTGAACGAGTTCCCGTGTAATACCAAGTTTATGAAACGGGTGAATAGTTCTGGTATCTGATAAGCACGCATTTTTGTATTACACAATGTGTAATACAGCTGTATGCTTATTCAACGGGTGATCTCTTCACGGGCAAGTAATAAATCGCTTGATCTCACCCAAGCGATATCTCCTGTGGGAGCCAGTTTGGGATTATAAATAACAAACAAACAAACAAACAAACCTCCGCTAGACTGCTGAAGCCAGCCAGTTATCTCCCTTGACATAGTGTCACGCACACTCGCAGTCAGTAGCAGGTCGCAACGTGGCGAAGCTCGCCACTGTTATTGACTCCAGGTGCCCATGATTTGAAATTGAAGTTCAAGAACGATGTGTGTGTTTCGGCTCGAAACTACCTGGGACCATCGTTGACAATTAATGGTTACTGCTCAAACTAGATGGTGGCTCCAGCCTGATATTTTGCGAAGTGAAAAGTGGCAGGCAGGTCAGCATGCAACAGGAGAACATCCCACGAGCGACATTAATTGTTGTGGCTTGTCATGTCATTGCAGAATGCAAAGAAGTAAAATAATTGTGGACGGAGGGCAAATGACGGGATTCCAAGTAGGTACACTGGCCGCCATATTGGGAATCCCGTCACGGTGACGGGGTTGACCACTCATAACCATGTGAATGTAGTTTCAACTGTACACATTCCAGTTATAAGCAATTGAATTGGGATGGATTGAAAATGTGGTTACATAATATGTACGACAAAATACTATATAATCCAATAATGGACTTCCACAAAACACGTATAGTGCAAATACTTATGATACGCTAAGGAAACAACACATTTAATCATATATGTCAGGTAGATACTACGTACAATCTGGCTTTTTTTATTCCAAATACATACGTATAAATGTCGTAGTTCTGACACCCCCGCAAAAGTCGACTCGCCCACCTCGCTATTAGTGTACGCCAGTCAGTGCTTTGGTACAGTAGGGTCTCGTAGCTAACTTACAAAATGGGGAAGAAACACGATGAAAACCTTGAAAACAATCCTGAATTAACCGCTCCTTTGAATGCAGATTCCATGGAGAGCCCTGCGATCATTACAGAGGGTGACCCCCCACGAGCTGCCTGGGATAGCAAGATTCAGTATTTTTTCATGGTTATCAGCTATGCCGTAGGACTTGGGAATGTGTGGAGATTTCCATATTTGACCCAAAAGCATGGTGGAGGTAAGATATTATTTTTCCCTTTTATATAATGCACCTAAAACATGAGTTAGAATTCCAGGTCGTTCTGACTTACACCCGGCCACGTGGTTGCAATACTTTCTGACCTGACAACAAGCATCAGTGGTGATGATGCAAGTGTGCACCAGACTTCAGTACAACCGCGTTAACGCGCCAAGTGAACATCCTTGAAACTGACAAGCTCACGTGCCACCGTCATCATGTTGCGTGTCTTGCTATTCACGTGCGAATATGCACGTGTTTATTTATTTGTTGGTTGTGCGTTCCTGGTAAGCTATGCATGTGGTACTACGAATGACCGCCACACTACTCGCGGGGCGACTGTCACGGAAGGATACACGCAGTGGTCACAACATGGGAAATTTCGCGGCAAGTTGATGGAAGGGAGTAGAGGGGGAATGAGGATATTGTCCTCAATATTTAGGTCAGCTTCGTGGAAAGTTTAATTGTTAACAGTTGACAGGTGCGACAGAACTCGTTAGAAAACGGCGATGTGTATCACAGTTCTGAACACGTCTTCAATGTATTTACGCAACATAATCAAAAACGTATTGTGTATTGAACAAAATACATATTTGTTCCGAGGTTGTATTTCAGTATATTTTACGCTGCTTTTATCATTATAAAAGCCATATTTCAGCAGTGTGTGTTCATTACACATGATGCTTTGTTTTGAAAATATTTGCGGAAAAATATGTGAATATTAATTTGAACTACCACAGTTATGTATGTTGAAACACATAGTTTTGCCTCAGGTTTTACAAATAAGAATGATTGTCCACTGGACATAATTGATGTTCTGCCAAAATATTTTGTGAAATATGGGCTCTTGTGCCTAAAATGGGCTCACAGAAACAAACTGATTTTCTTGAAGCATGGAGCGAAAAGAATATTTGAACAACACACAGAATGTTTTCTTTTATTGATAATCATAGTTTTATTATACCCATTGAAGATCCCAGTTAGAATTGGTCTTCAGCAAACCATGCTTGTTGTAAGAGGTGACTAACCAGATTGGGTAGTCAGACTGACTGACTTGATGCATGCATGTCATCAAATTCCAAATTGGGTAGATTGATGCTCATGATGTCAATCACTGCATTGTCTGGTTCTGACTCTACTAAGGAGGATGATTTTCCCAGTCGTGTAAGGCACTGCAATTCGCTGTGCAGACTTCTGTCCCTTGGGCATGCCAGAAACCTATGATCATGGGTTTGAATCCCAGTTCACCCCAATTATGTTTCTAGGTTTGTCAGCACCATACCCATCCTCGAGGATTTCACCAAAATGGTAAACGTCTGAGGCCTGTATGACTTCGGGCTTTCCTCCTACATTAAGCTGACATGGCGGGATATCACTGGAATACTGTTCAAAACGGCATTAAACCCAACTTACTTTCTCAGACTCTATTATTTAAAGACCGCTGTAATAAAGCTGTAGTATTGCTGAGTGCGGTGTTAAAACAACAAACAAAATTAGATTAAGTAAAAGCTACCAATCTTGTAAAAGGAATATATTTGCAGCCAGTCTGATTTAATATGTAAAATATATGTACTAATCCTGCTAGTGTAAGGTGAAAAAAAGACTGCATTGCAAGCTCATTATTTCACACTAAAACCAAGATACTATAACTCAACAGGGACGAGCTAGTTCAATGAGGAAGTTTGTGGTAACCCATTTAGATCATGAGTCTGGCTTTAACACCAAACGTCCTCTTATCTTTCAGGTGTCAAAGTGCATTTGGCAATTGTGATTTTACATCTGACACCATGTGATGTGAGCATTTTTAATAAAAAAAGAAAAGTTAAAATATGCATGAACTAAACTAAAAATACCTTCTTATTAGCTCACCACTGCCCAAATCCATTGTATCAAAAAAAAAATTCAAGTAGATTCTGTGTGAAATTTAAGCATCTTCTCAAAGACCTACAAGACTTTTAGGGATCTGACATTTGTATCAGTGATTATTGATATTAGAAGTTTCAAATTTGTTCAAGGCATCCTGAACAGCATTAAAGTTCATAAGTTGCAGTCATTGTGCTTTTACCATGTTTACTAAGAAATACATGCCAAACCTCACTGACTCACAATCAGTAGTAGGAGTAGCCTCGTGTGTCATCCCCTTGTTGACTGCAGGGGCAGACAGGAGTAGGAGTAGCCTTGTGTGTCATCCCCCTTGTTGACTGCTGGGGCAGACAGTAGTAGGGGTAGCCTCGTGTGTCATCCCCTTGTTGACTGCAGGGGCAGACAGGAGTAGGTGTAACCTTGTGTGTCATCCCCCTTGTTGACTGCAGGGGCAGACAGGAGTAGGAGTAACCTTGTGTGTCATCCCCCTTGTTGACTGCAGGGGCAGACAGTAGTAGGGGTAACCTTGTGTGTCATCCCCCTTGTTGACTGCAGGGGCACACAGTAGTAGGGGTAACCTCGTGTGTCATCCCCCTTGTTGACTGCTGGGGCACACAGTAGTAGGAGTAGCCTCGTGTGTCATCCCCCTTGTTGACTGCAGGGGCAGACAGGAGTAGGAGTAACCTTGTGTGTCATCCCCCTTGTTGACTGCTGGGGCAGACAGGAGTAGGAGTAACCTTGTGTGTCATCCCCCTTGTTGACTGCAGGGGCAGACAGTAGTAGGAGTAACCTCGTGTGTCATCCCCCTTGTTGACTGCAGGGGCAGACAGGAGTAGGAGTAACCTTGTGTGTCATCCCCCTTGTTGACTGCTGGGGCAGACAGGAGTAGGAGTAACCTTGTGTGTCATCCCCCTCGTTGACTGCAGGGGCAGACAGGAGTAGGAGTAACCTCGTGTGTCATCCCCCTTGTTGACTGCTGGGGCAGACAGGAGTAAGATGCGACTCACTCATGGCTCCCAGACTTGTTTGATACATGTCATCGTATAATAATTGCATGGATCGATGCTCATCATGTCAGTCACTGGATTTTCTGGTCCAGACTCAATATTTTTCAGACTGCTGTCATATAGCTGGAATATTGTGAGTGCAGCGTTAAACAACAAACAAACAAAACTTGTTGTTACCCTGTCTGGCGCTTGGCATGAAGGGCTATGAAACAAGGATAGGTCAGTATTCTGTGTCTAAGTAGGGTATTCATGTTAAACTGCGGCATGGTATCTCAGTGGACTAGCACTATAAAATTGGCATTAGTCTGGTCTAGTACAAGCAGACAGACACACATGCATATCTCTATATTAGTGCAATAATCTTGAATGTGACATTAAACCCCATTCACCCCACCTCATAGTAAGCAAGTTAAGATTTAATATTACATTATTGTGTCACTCCTATAGCAATGATTGTTGGAATTCTTTTTTAACTTTAAAAATCAGTGAATTGTGCAACACTATGGTTGCTGATTCACCTTGAAAAACCCAGTGGCTTCAGTTGTGCACAGCTGTCTAACATAATGGTTATGTGATAGCATGCATGTCAAACAATGTGAGTGACATGTTATTTCAGCACTTGTGTTGTGGTGTAAAAGTTGGACACAGTAGTAGGAGAATGGTGTGAGGCGGAATGATGGGTGTGCATTGTGGGGGATGGGGGGGGGGTCCTTGTATTTACGTCATGTGATCTTAATGCGAATAACCCGGAGTAATGCATGTTGAAGATGCTTACATGGCTATGGCAATGTCGAGATCATAACCATGATGACTAGAATTTAATCCGAAATCGGCGGATCAACACATAGTGCCCCACAAATGCCCCACAAATGCCCCCCAGTCTAAGGGCATTGAATAATCAAGTCTGGGCCAGACAGTGCAGTGATTGATATTATGAGCATCTAAGTCAGCGACCATGACCACCCAAGCCTGTTAGTCGCCTCTCATAACAAGCAAAGTCGCCTCTAATGACAAGCATGGGTTGCTAAAGACCTATTCTAGCCCAGATCTTCACAGGTCCGATCATCATTAACTCACTACTGTATGGTTGGACTTGTTCAGGCTTGAGTCTTCATTTTGATAAATTCACATTGGGATTCTAAGGAAGATAAGATCCCCAGTTCCAAATTCTTGTCTTAAGGATGTCTGCGGTATGATTTTGTCATCATGGCGTATATATATATGCTGGTGACCTATTCTTCCCTACAATCTCCAGGGAGACAGTCATGAGGTACTGCTGACCTATTCTTCCCTACAATCTCCAGGGAGACAGTCATGAGGTACTGGTGACCTATTCTTCCCTACAATCTCCAGGGAGACAGTCATGAGGTACAGCTGACCTATTCTTCCCCACAATCTCCAGGGAGACAGTCATGAGGTACTGCTGATCTATTCTTCCCTACAATCTCCAGGGAGACAGTCATGAGGTTCTTCTGACCTATTCTTCCCTACAATCTCCAGGGAGACAGTCATGAGGTACTGCTGACCTATTCTTCCCCACAATCTCCAGGGAGACAGTCATGAGGTACTGCTGACCTATTCTTCCCTTCAATCTCCAGGGAGACAGTCATGAGGTACAGCTGACCTATTCTTCCCCACAATCTCCAGGGAGACAGTCATGAGGTACTGCTGACCTATTATTCCCTACAATCTCCAGGGAGACAGTCATGAGGTTCTTCTGACCTATTCTTCCCTACAATCTCCAGGGAGACAGTAGTGAGGTACTGCTGACCTATTCTTCCCTACAATCTCCAGGGAGACAGTCATGAGGTACAGCTGACCTATTCTTCCCCACAATCTCCAGGGAGACAGTCATGAGGTACTGCTGACCTATTCTTCCCTTCAATCTCCAGGGAGACAGTCATGAGGTACAGCTGACCTATTCTTCCCCACAATCTCCAGGGAGACAGTCATGAGGTACTGCTGACCTATTATTCCCTACAATCTCCAGGGAGACAGTCATGAGGTTCTTCTGACCTATTCTTCCCTACAATCTCCAGGGAGACAGTAGTGAGGTACTGCTGACCTATTCTTCCCTACAATCTCCAGGGAGACAGTCATGAGGTACAGCTGACCTATTCTTCCCTACAATCTCCAGGGAGACAGTCATGAGGTACAGCTGACCTATTCTTCCCCACAATCTCCAGGGAGACAGTCATGAGGTACTGCTGACCTATTCTTCCCTACAATCTCCAGGGAGACAGTCATGAGGTTCTTCTGACCTATTCTTCCCTACAATCTCCAGGGAGACAGTCATGAGGTACAGCTGACCTATTCTTCCCCACAATCTCCAGGGAGACAGTCATGAGGTTCTTCTGACCTATTCTTCCCTACAATCTCCAGGGAGACAGTCATGAGGTACTGCTGACCTATTCTTCCCTACAATCTCCAGGGAGACAGTCATGAGGTACTGCTGACCTATTCTTCCCTACAATCTCCAGGGAGACAGTCATGAGGTACTGCTGACCTATTCTTCCCTACAATCTCCAGGGAGACAGTCATGAGGTTCTTCTGACCTATTCTTCCCTACAATCTCCAGGGAAACAGTCATGAGGTACAGCTGACCTATTCTTCCCCACAATCTCCAGGGAGACAGTCATGAGGTACTGCTGACCTATTCTTCCCTACAATCTCCAGGGAGACAGTCATGAGGTTCTTCTGACCTATTCTTCCCTACAATCTCCAGGGAGACAGTCATGAGGTACAGCTGACCTATTCTTCCCCACAATCTCCAGGGAGACAGTCATGAGGTACTGCTGACCTATTCTTCCCCACAATCTCCAGGGAGACAGTCATGAGGTACTGCTGACCTATTCTTCCCTACAATCTCCAGGGAGACAGTCATGAGGTTCTTCTGACCTATTCTTCCCTACAATCTCCAGGGAGACAGTCATGAGGTACTGCTGACCTATTCTTCCCTACAATCTCCAGGGAGACAGTCATGAGGTACTGCTGACCTATTCTGCCTCAGAATTTCAATAATCAGTAATCAAGATTGTTGGTGTGTATTTAGAAATCGTCTTAAACATCTGTAGACATGGTGGCTATTAGGGCTGGGACGAGTCCAAATTTACTACCCGGGCACCCACCCCTCTATTACCCGATACTACCTAGGTACCCACTGTAGGTCTCAAGAGATACAAAATGTCCGATTGGGAATTATTATTTTTTATCACAGCACTTGCAAAACGTATTTAGATACATGTATTGAATGATCTGGTCATGCATACACTGAGGTTGACTTAAGTTATATCTTTATTCAACCATATGAAAAGTCAGAAGGAATGGGTGCATAGTCAGAAAGAAATGCGAACATTAGTGACTTGTAGTTTAACCATAGTGTTCTAGATAATTTTTGCCATTAAACAATATATGACTAACCACGGGTTATGTCATGGCTTGCTTGTCTAGCGTTCTGGCAATCTGTAAACATCCCTTGAAGATGAAACATCACATGCTTGTTTTGTAACAAGGATGGTAGCTGTGTGTGTTCAAGAGGTTTGAATCTGATTTTCAGTACTGCCAGAATGGCAGCTATATTGAAAATTTGTGAAGATTACTCTGTCATTTCTGATAAAAATGTTATGTAATGCCCTGAATTTCTCTCAAAATGCTTTTTTGGCTCTGTAAATGTCATCTCATCCGCAATTGCCGGACTGAGGAAGCTGAGCTTAGCATGTTTTTCTCCTTATGATGACATTATATGTTGAGATGTTCAGTCATGAGCATAGGTGTTGCAGCAACCTGAAGAATGGGGGGTTGTGTGCGTGCGTGCGTGTGTGCGTGCGCACGCTTGTTGTGCCTTTATTATATGACCAACAAGGAAATCATGTCACAAGTGAAATTAATGTTAATTTATGAGTGACATATTCCATTATCACTTGTATGAAGTGGGTTATTCCATTTATTACCCATTTTCAGTCTAAACACTTTAATTTATCATGTTTACAGATAGAATTCTGAACTCGTAATACATGTCTGAAAGGTGCCTTCCTTTTCTCCTGCAGTGATCTAATGTTTCCTATTGTTATGGGTCATTCCATTACATACTGACCTCATTCACTTTCTTTGGTTCAAATTGTCATTTTTAACTGACCTGACCAATCAGCAGTCACTATCTCCATAACACCTCACTGGGGTCTATGAAGCGGGCATCACTTGGATACAATTCTCTTGAAACATTGTCCACCTCTATCGTAGATTATCGGAAAAATATGTATGAAGGGTGTTATAGTAATTTATTCTCACAATGTTTGGGACAAGGGATTAATTGCTGAAACATAATACCAGAATAGCATAAATTGCTGGACTAGTTAGCTGTATAAAATGATTCATTGCATGGGGACAGTTTGTGCTGCAGTAACATATGTAATTTCAGTCCTTTGAAGAAATTTGCTGAAAACATGTGCAAATTCAAATAATCAATAATCTAAACAATATTGATCCTGGCAGCACATTTTTGTATTTACATTTAATGAAATTAATTCATTTTCATTTTGAAATTTGTTCTTAAAATGATGTTTTAAAACTTTGAATTTTATCTGAAAAGTTTGAGACAAATGATGCATGTTTCAGTCAGATAATGGCCCTCGTTTGTATACGGCATACAGCTTGTTGCCATGCAGCACTATTGCATAAAGTAAAAATATTAAAATTCTTTGTTCATTTTGCAATCTCATTAGTATTTGTCACTACCAACTGGTTTTAAAACGGTAACTAATTTACAAACAGTATGATATGAAATTGACATACTGATGTTGACATCATGAAATATTTATAGTGAACTTTCCCCCTGGAAGTCATCGTTTTGTGCCTGCATGTGTGCCTGCATGTGTGTTTCATGTCTGATACAGTCAGTATCACAGCACTGAAAACACACAAACTGGTGATTATGAAGTCATTGGCGATTCTCTAGATAAATATGCTTTTATTCTTCTTGGATATATTTGCATACAAAGGAAAATGTTTTATCATACTTCAAGAAGTTTTTATTGTAGGCAAAAGAACCTTGGTTCACATCAACCTAAGAATGAACACAAGATTGACAATGCATTTTCAACTTTCAGTGCCGTGTTTCAGTATATAGGATTGTACCTTTGTCAAGCAAGTGATCAACTGCCAGCTAGGACATGGTTATAAAGCAAAAACAACAAATGACATAGTTGAGATAAGACTGTATGATTACAGGGTTGTTTGAATGTGTTGTTTTGTGACATCTAGGGGAAAGGGAATACAACAGCCACCTTTTAGTATGTCCACAGGCAAGACCACAATCTGGACATTGCCAAGGTTACCTCAAGTCATGTGTCTGTTCTTCTTCTCAACAGACCAATATCATATTCCCACATGTCTATATATCACTACAACATATTAAATTTGTTATTTTCTTCAATTTAAAATATCCAATATCACAGCACATGTTTGTGACGCATATATACTGCATTTGTGCCTACCTCTTATTTCAAACGATTGGACATACCTTTGCGGGAAATATTCTATAAAATATTTGGAAGACATTCATAAGAACCATCTTAACCTTGAAGAAAGGTTTTCATTTTAATAATTTCAAATGGCTGCCATAATTTTGTTCTATTCAATATAGTTTAGCACATTCTGTGAGGGGACAATTCATCAATGTAGGTGAACAGCTGTACCTCTGGTACTTTTGTGTACTCATACTCCAAGTGGCATGTGTTTGTTTGTTTGTTTGTTTAATGCCTCACTCAGCAATATTCCATAAATAAGTCTGGACCAAGCAATCCAGTGATTGACATCATGAGCATCATTCTATACAATTGGGATACGATGACATGCATCAACAAAGTTTTAGAGAGCCCGGCTAGTCGCCTCTTATGACAGCATAGTTGCCTTTTACGGCAGATCATCTCGGGTCTAAAAAGAGTTATGTGTTTTCTCCAACCAGAAGTATATTACATTAGACCAGGGCTGAATTTAGGTTCAATCTTTATTTGGCTACCTGGAGGCATGATGGTATCTGGTTGCATTTGTATTGTGGTAGGCATGTGTTCCCTCAAACAAATGTCATCAGACTGGTTAATGGTGGTTTGATTTCTGGGACATTTAGGAAGAAAAGATGAAAAGTAAACAGCTTCATGACAGATTCTCATTCCAAATTGGAAACATGTAATTAATTTGACCTAACAGACACTGGTCAGACAGACAGACTGGTGTTGAGAGCAGCAGCTCACAGCGTTCTCCTTTGTTTCAGGAGCGTTCCTCATCCCCTACTTTGTCATGCTGTTTGTGGAGGGCATGCCCCTTCTGTACCTCGAACTGGCCATTGGACAAAAGCTCCGTCAAGGCAGTGTTGGAGTGTGGAACGAGATCCACCCTCTCATGGGTGGCGTCGGCATCGCAAGCGCAGTGACGTCCTTCATGGTGGCCCTCTACTACAACGCCATCATCATGTGGTGTTTCTTCTACCTGTTCCACTCCTTTCAGAGTCCCCTACCCTGGTCCTCCTGTCCCTCCATCACAACTGCTCCGAACATTAGCATCATTGTCCCAGAGTGCAAAATAGGGGGATCAACATCATACTTCTGGTACCGAAACGCTCTTGACATATCATCGGGAATTGATGATGCAGATGGTGTCAAGTGGAAGATGCTGTTGTGTCTTATATTCTCGTGGATTGTTGTCTATTGCTGTATCTGCAAGGGAATTAAGTCTTCAGGAAAGGTAAGTTAATACACTGGCAGATGTTTGATTATATGATCCATGATCAATTTTCTAACACAAGAACCTCTTAGAGCTACCAACCTGTCTATTAATATTTAAGGCTTGTAGACATCAAACCTACTATCCTGTCTGGTATTATTTTTACAACTTATTCTTTATATTAATAACCATATTTATGAACTTTTGCATTACATTTTAATAATTTACGTTTTAGACAAACTGTTCAAATCCTAACTGTCAATGTTCAGTGGGATTATGTAGGCCTATATGGTGTATTTCATGGAGTAGGAGAAAGGAGAGAACGGACATAGCTACAGTAAGAGGATGTGAGGCAGACTGGGCTGGAAAAAAAATCATTCATTCTTTATGGCCATGATTGTACATGAAGCTCCTATTCTCCTATTTGCAACAGGCGTAATTTCATGCCTTATCACACTCCATATATTCGATTACAATATAACACACACTGTCGAAGAGCTATTAATCTAATAACAGCAGATTGTTGTCTCCCGCATGCCAGCCTTATGAAAAGCTGATCACACTAAATATGTCTGTTAAACAATCTATAATTGTACTCGCAAATAATTCCACCTAAGGTCGACAATGAACAGAAAAACATAAATATTATGTAATTAGTATTTTAATTCAGTTGACAGTGTTCATTATTATCCCCCCGGCATATAATGCGGGGGGATATAGCGATCAGCCAGTCTGTCTGTCTGTCCGTCTGTCTGTCCGTCCGTCTGTCCGTAATCATTTCCTTTTCCGGGGCAGAACTCGTAAAGAATTCAGTGTATTTGATCGAAACTTGGCATATCTATCAGTCACATACTGAAGTTGTGCCTTTTGCTATTTAGGAATTTTAGAATTTTTTATTTTTTACGTTTCCATGGTAACAAGTTGGACTTAGGTTCTATAGGGTAGAGTTCGTTTCCGGAGCATAACTCAAAACCCATTCAAAACTTTCTTACAAAACTTTGCATGTCTATCAGACTCATGCTGAACTGGTGCCTTTTGCTATTTAGGAATATTATAAATTTTTATTTTTTACGTTTCTATGGTAACAAGTTGGACTTAGGTTCTATAAGGGTGGTGTTCGTTTCCGGAGCGCAACTCAAAAACCGTTAAATACTTTCTTATAAAACTTTGCATGTCTACCAGGCACATACTGAACTGGTGCCTTTTGCTATTTTGGAATTTATTTTTTTAATTTTTTTTACGTTTCCATGGCAACAAGTTTGATTTAAGTTTTCATATAGGGTGTGTTAACTTATGGAGTATAACAAATAAACTGTTAAATATTTCCTTGCCAAACATTGCATGTCCATATATAAAGTACATACTGAACTGGTGCCATTTGATATAAAGGAGTTTTAGAAATGTTTATTTTAGAATTTCAATTGCAGCTATTTTGACATGGGCTAAGAGAAATGTTGGGTCAGTTACCTGGTTTGGGACCATAACATGTTAAAATGGGTGGGGGATATAGATGACTTCGTTGACTATACGCTTGTTTCTTGTAATTTGTCATTTGTTTACATAAAAAAAACCCAGCAGAAACACACGTTTTACTTCAATTTTATATGGATGCGACCATGGTGGATCTTTTGTTGGTAAACAATGTATGCTTCTTAAAGAACATTCAACTCTTGACTCATAAACAGAATTGCACATTTACTTGTGGTTACTTTACAGACAGCTGCCGGGGGGATATGTCATCTTTCTGATGACTCTTGTCCAATATTGTACACATATTATTAAATATTCGCAGTTGAATAATTATGTATTCCAAAATAGGATACGGTAGGATATATCTATATAATCTAGTAACATTAATTGCATCATAATTTGAGTAACAATAAGCAAAAGTCAAATACAGTTTGAAGATAAATATTTCATGATACGCCAAAAAATCTCATTGCTTTTGGACCAGGGGAGATTTTTCTCTCACAGGTAAAAAGTTTCAGGATAATCGCTGACTTTCACAGCAATATTTCCCTATCTTGTGTGTAGATAGTGGTGTACCGGTATTTCACAGCAATATTTCCCTATCTTGTGTGCAGATAGTGGTGTACCAGTATTTCACAGCAATATTTCCCTATCTTGTGTGCAGATAGTGGTGTACTGGTATTTCACAGCAATATTTCCCTATCATGTGTGTAGATAGTGGTGTACCGGTATTTCACAGCAATATTTCCCTATCATGTGTGTAGATAGTGGTGTACCGGTATTTCACTGCAATATTTCCCTATGTTGTGTGCAGATAGTGGTGTACCGGTATTTCACAGCAATATTTCCCTATCATGTGTGTAGATAGTGGTGTACCGGTATTTCACTGCAATATTTCCCTATGTTGTGTGCAGATAGTGGTGTACCGGTATTTCACAGCAATATTTCCCTATCATGTGTGTAGATAGTGGTGTACCTGTATTTCACAGCAATATTTCCCTATGTTGTGTGCAGATAGTGGTGTACCGGTATTTCACAGCAATATTTCCCTATCATGTGTGTAGATAGTGGTGTACCAGTATTTCACTGCAATATTTCCCTATGTTGTGTGCAGATAGTGGTGTACCGGTATTTCACAGCAATATTTCCCTATCATGTGTGTAGATAGTGGTGTACCGGTATTTCACAGCAATATTTCCCTATGTTGTGTGCAGATAGTGGTGTACCGGTATTTCACAGCAATATTTCCCTATCATGTGTGTAGATAGTGGTGTACCGGTATTTCACAGCAATATTTCCCTATGTTGTGTGCAGATAGTGGTGTACAGGTATTTCACAGCAATATTTCCCTATCATGTGTGTAGATAGTGGTGTACCGGTATTTCACAGCAATATTTCCCTATCATGTGTGTAGATAGTGGTGTACCGGTATTTCACAGCAATATTTCCCTATGTTGTGTGCAGATAGTGGTGTACCGGTATTTCACAGCAATATTTCCCTATCATGTGTGTAGATAGTGGTGTACCAGTATTTCACAGCAATATTTCCCTATGTTGTGTGCAGATAGTGGTGTACCGGTAATTCACAGCAATATTCCCCTATGTTGTGTGTAGCTAGTAGTGTATTTCTTGGCAATATTTCCCTTTGTTTTGGGTTTCAGGTGGTGTATTTCACAGCAATATTTCCCTATGTGGTGCTTATCATCTTCTTCGGAAGGGGTATAACTCTGCGAGGGGCAACAGATGGACTTCTTCACATGTTTACACCAAGGGTAGGTTTTCTTATCTTTTCAGGCTTGTATTTATTGAGTTCTATTTCCATGAGAAAACAAGTCCCATCTATGGCATTGACTGCCCAGCGTTTTAGGAATAGTGTGGCCATTCTACAGAAAGACCTCCCAATATTGCTGTAGGACCATGACAACATGCTAAGGATCACAAATTGAACAATCGCAGAATCCAATCTCTGAGAAGGGCTTCGCTGTGACTTCTGATATGTAACATTGACAGCAAGAGAACTCTCTCGGGAAGAATTTACACACACACTCAACGGTGACAGAATCAGTTGCACATTTTTGATGATAAGGATGGGTGATTTGTGTTCAAGTCAATATACTTTGCAGTCATAAAAACCAAATAGACTAATGCTTTGTATTGGAGTGGGTCTATGCCAAACAAACTTGGGCCATTAAAAATAAATGCAAATCTTACATCTCAAAGTTCAAAACATCTAAACCTTTGGCAGTATTTCTTGATATCAATAACTGATGCACTAATATCATAATTCTGTATTTCTGTATCCATGTGAAACTTATTACTTTTAGATATTTTAAAAAAATATGAATTTATTGTATGTATTATCTCTTTATTGGAAGGTTTTAATCAATTATGTGATATCCCACATTTGAATTCTTGATATTGATAATAGATTCAATACATTAATAAATTTATGATTGTTATTATATGTTGAAGTATCAAATGTGGAATAAATAGATAAATGTGCAAACCGCCAATATATATGCATTTTAACCTCAAAACACCTGCACCACCTTGGTTGGACTGACAACTGAGGTATGTTGTGTTATGAGTTTTGAAATACAATTGTCAAAAACTTGAACCTTTGGCATACCTATTTCACATGGAAGGTTCATGCATATATTTGTCTTGTTCTTGTGTGGTTGGATGGCTTGAATATGTCACCAGTATTAGATCACTGTTATGATTCTGAGGAGATCCCAGTACAGAATAAGTCTACAGATCCCCTAGCTTAATTGTCACCCTTGCAGGATCCTTGGTCAGAGGAAGGCACCAGTATCCTTTGCTTTTCACCCTGACAGGATCCTTGGTCAGAGGAAGGCACCAGTATCCTTTGCTTGTCACCCTGGCAGGATCTTTGGTCAGAGGAAGGCACCAGTATCCTTTGCTTTTCACCCTGACAGGATCCTTGGTCAGAGGAAGGCACCAGTATCCTTTGCTTTTCACCCTGACAGGATCTTTGGTCAGAGCTAGGCACCAGTATCCTTTGCTTTTCACCCTGACATGATCTTTGGTCAGAGGAAGGCACCAGTATCCTTTGCTTTTCACCCTGACAGGATCCTTGGTCAGAGGAAGGCACCAGTATCCTTTGCTTTTCACCCTGACAGGATCCTTGGTCAGAGGAAGGCACCAGTATCCTTTGCTTTTCACCCTGACAGGATCTTTGGTCAGAGCAAGGCACCAGTATCCTTTGCTTTTCACCCTGACAGGATCTTTGGTCAGAGCAAGGCACCAGTATCCTTTGCTTGTCACCCTGACAGGATCCTAGGTCAGAGGAAGGCACCAGTATCCTTTGCTTTTCACCCTGACAGGATCTTTGGTCAGAGCAAGGCACCAGTATCCTTTGCTTTTCACCCTGACAGGATCTTTGGTCAGAGCAAGGCACCAGTATCCTTTGCTTGTCACCCAGGCAGGATCTTTGGTCAGAGGAAGGCACCAGTATCCTTTGCTTGTCACCCTGACAGGATCTTTGGTCAGAGCTAGGCACCAGTATCCTTTGCTTTTCACCCTGACAGGATCTTTGGTCAGAGGAAGGCACCAGTATCCTTTGCTTTTCACCCTGACAGGATCCTTGGTCAGAGGAAGGCACCAGTATCCTTTGCTTTTCACCCTGACAGGATCCTTGGTCAGAGGAAGGCACCAGTATCCTTTGCTTTTCACCCTGACAGGATCTTTGGTCAGAGCTAGGCACCAGTATCCTTTGCTTTTCACCCTGACAGGATCTTTGGTCAGAGCAAGGCACCAGTATCCTTTGCTTTTCACCCTGACAGGATCTTTGGTCAGAGCAAGGCACCAGTATCCTTTGCTTTTCACCCTGACAGGATCTTTGGTCAGAGCAAGGCACCAGTATCCTTTGCTTGTCACCCTGACAGGATCTTTGGTCAGAGCAAGGCACCAGTATCCTTTGCTTGTCACCCTGACAGGATCCTTGGTCAGAGCTAGGCACCAGTATCCTTTGCTTTTCACCCTGACAGGATCCTTGGTCAGAGGAAGGCACCAGTATCCTTTGCTTGTCACCCTGACAGGATCTTTGGTCAGAGCAAGGCACCAGTATCCTTTGCTTTTCACCCTGACAGGATCTTTGGTCAGAGCAAGGCACCAGTATCCTTTGCTTTTCACCCTGACAGGATCCTAGGTCAGAGCAAGGCACCATTATCCTTTGCTTTTCACCCTGACAGGATCTTTGGTCAGAGCAAGGCACCAGTATCCTTTGCTTGTCACCCTGACAGGATCCTTGGTCAGAGCAAGGCACCAGTATCCTTTGCTTGTCACCCTGGCAGGATCCTTGGTCAGAGCAAGGCACCAGTACTAGATGTTCAAGCCAGGGTCTGGGATATATTGCTGAACATCAGCATACTTGTCTAGTGGACCGGCATACATGTCTAGAGGACCCACATGGTTGTCTAGTAGGGCTGTTACCATTCACTCGTGTATTCGGTAAATCGAACCGTATCCATTCATGAATTAAATTTGTTATTTGTGGTCACTAGAATCGAATATTTATGAATAAGCAGTCATGAGCATCTACATACCCTGTACCTAAAAATGTCCATAAGAACATATTATATGCAGAGATTTCTTTAAAGACAACACTCCTAAATATTATTTGACAGTATTGTGGTCACCGGTCATTGTAGTATTTGAGCAGATACTAGTACCTGGATAAATGAAGTATGTAAATGTATAATATATTAATAATTATCAAACCAGGTCAAAAAAATGTATGTTGTTATTTTTCACCGAATATAATAAATTATACATCAACTGCTGACTTGTTATTGTATTCTTGAATAAATATTTGTATTCGTTACCCTATATTCGTGATATGAATCGTATTCGCCTCAGTGTATTTGTTGCAGCCCTATTGTCTAGTGGATCAGCATACATGTCTTTTGGATCGAATACTTGTCTAGTGAACCAGAATACTTACCCAGATTTATTTGTGTTAGTCTTGACATTTTTCCAATAGCCGATTCTAAAGAACAACTCATATTCAAGCATGCCATGCCACATTAATGATAAATATGCCCATCATCAGTAATCACCATATATAGTGAGTGAAATGGAAGGCACTGGTGGACAGTTGAGAGATGTCATGTTGAAAAGGGGGCAAGCTGCCACAGTGTTTCCTGACCATCTGGTCCTGGGTATTCTGGAACTTGTCTTCCAGCCAGAATGTTGTTGTCAGGAAGCAATCAACTGGGGCACAATGGCTGTGGGAGAAGAGAATGGGAGGTCATCAAGTGTTTCTTCACATATGGGAACACCATGTTACAAGCATGAGCAGTTGTGTATGTATGGGGGAGTATAGAGATGCCTGTCTTTACAGTCAGATTGATGTACAAAACACTGGTGACATGCAGCTGATCTATGGATGTTGTCTCTGTGTGTGCCAGACATGCTGACTATGCAAGAATTGCTGGTCTACAGTTGCTTGTTCTTTTAGCCTTGACACATGAGGGGGAAGATCCCAGCATGTGACAGCAAGCAGCACTTGTGATAAGGATAGATGTGTTATGCCTTATTCCCAAAATACTTGCACGTTCCTCTGAGTGCACCAGGAAAGAAAACAAGCTTTGCAAGACTTACAACATTTATTGAACATTCAGACCAAAGAAAACCCTTGCTTAACTAGAAAATCGTGACACTTTAAAATATGCTTGACACCAAAGTCATCACCCAGCAAGATATAAAATATAGTTTTTCAATCTGGATCTAATATTTTAAGAGAATGATCAAGTCAACATCCTGTGTCCCTTGTAACACGTTTAGGAGGCATGACTTCATTCAAATATGGTTATTAAAGCAATGTACAAAACCTTCAAGCTACAAAAACACAGTTTGTATTAGTGATCTTAATTGTATTTATAGTGAAGGTGAACTGTTTCCAATCAATGCCATTAATGACCATGCTCTGTGAAAAGATATGTAAAGTAATGGACATTCCTAAACCAGGTACAGTGGTCCTTCGCTACAACACTACCTTGGGGGTCAAATAATTGATGAGCGTTATAGACGATCCGCGTTTTAACCAAGGTTAACACGATTTTATAACCAGACAGTATAATAATGGAAATAAATTGTGTACTTCAGTTTGGATTTGTTGACTGATATTTCTGGTGTTGTGTGCTCACAGTGATCAGTTAATTTTTTTGGGTGGGGAAAAACATCTTGTCCATGTAAAACTTGAGTTTATTAAAAATGTAAGTATATTTTGGGAGCCATGCTTTACTGTGCGCTATAACCGAGTTAGGGCTATATTGAAGGGCGCTATAGTACTATGCATTGTGATAAGAAACAAAATTCTTATCAAATACAAAAAGGGGTAAAATTTGTATAAGGACAAAAAGTTTAATTGTCATTGCTTCAAAGAAAATTATGTACGCAAAGGGCATCATAAACATCCAAACATTCCAGAGAAACTAACCAACACTGAGTTAAAAAAATTATTCGGCATATATATATAGTATATGTTTGGAGTGAAACATGTCTGTGTTGAGGTTGTTAGGTGGTGCGTTTAATGGCTAGAGCATGTCAGGGATGTAATAAACATGGTTCCTGTCATCTAGAGTTGGCTCTCTGAGGGTTGGTGGGAATGTGGCATACACAGGCAGTAGTATCTGGTGAAGTGTTCAGGACTTGAGGCTGAACACAATATGTTTTGTCCTTTAAGAGTGAGGGACGGGGTTTTAGTTTATACTGTAAAACATAACTCACTGCATGTCTTGTGTAAGAC